TTGCTCATCCTCTCGATGGAAGTTGCACGAGGCCGCGGCTGGCCTCGCACAACTTCCATCGAAAGGATGAGCAAAATCGATCGAATCTACCGCTGGAACGTTGAAATATTCACTACTGTGTGTGTGTGTGTGTGTGTGTGTGTGTGTGTGCGTGTGTGGTTGGTGGCGGGGGGGCGGGGCGACCCCTCCCCCACCAATCAATCAATCAATCAATCAACAACAAAAAGAAAAAGCAACATCGAATCAATCAATCAATCAATCAATCAATCAATCAATCAACGGAAAAAAAAAACAAAAAAAAGACGCGCGGCAGCCCAAACCCCCCAACCAAAAGTTGGTTTTTGTTTCAATTTTTTTTGTGTGGGGGGGTGGGGCAGCGGATGCGCCACCCAATGGCGCTTCCAGAATCCCAAACCCCCCTCCCCTGCGGCCGCCACGTGGCGCCAAAGCTGCGCGTCCGCACGGACGCGTCCGCGGCTGCGAACTTGGCTGCGCTTGTCCGCCGCCGCAGGGGATTCGTAGCCTGGCAATCCTTGGTACGTGTTGAGTCTGTCGACAGTCTCATTTAAGAAATAAACTGCACCAGCACAATTGCTTCACTGTTAGGTGTATATCACCTATCATCACGTCATTTTCCTGAGTCTGGCCCTCCACGGAATCCAGCCTGCCACCCCAAGCCCAACAGCCTGGTGCCTCAACCATAATTGTTCAATTGCTATGTCAGCACAATCTGTTCAGGAGCAAGGCATCAAAATTATCAAGAACCAATTTCCCATTTGTGACATAGGAGTCTCTATTCTAGCAAAACAAATTGACAAGCAGCACTTTTTTCGTGACACGAGGACTGGGGGACCAAATTGACCAATTCCTCAAGGAAGTGCTTCAAATTCTTCTGGGCAGCTCTTTCGGATTATATAGAATTCCAACCTGACATAAACTGAGGGAAAGTCTCTTAGAATTGTACAAGTCGAAGTGCACCATACTCCGTAGTCGGCAGCACCGAAGGTGCCGCCTCACGTCCCCATTACACTAAAATGCAAATATGACACACGGAGGGAAAAAGAGAGCACTGCCGCCAGCAATGTCAACTTGAAGCCATGACTCATGAGTCCGTGCTGTGTCACCTGTGTGGTTATGCCGTGGAACGGTGGTACTGACAGAGGTCGTACAATTTTTGCCCACCCGCACGTTGTTCTTGCATGAACACGATCAATCAACCATGCACCTTTGCGCCGTGCATTAACGATTAAACGACCAAACTCTCAGAGTCAAACCAGGTTCAAATCAAGTGACCAGGTGCAAATCAAGCGACCAGGTTCAAATCAAGCGACCAGGTTCAAATCAAGTGAGCCATATGCGCTTCAGAGTCCAGATTCCAGACACTGTCAGAGACAACCTATTGCTATAATATCCTGAACGCTCTGCAACCAAACACACACAAGCAAACCTTTTAAACACTTTGAAGCATAATCCCTGGACTTTCAAATTTATCCCCGAGGCCCCGAATCACAGATGGGCAAAGACACAGAGAACATTTTACAAACCAGAGTGACCAGACACAAAAATTGACAGAATTAACATAAAAAACCGAACGTTCGGTGGCCTAGAAACTTCTCGTGATAACCGGAGATTCTGAACTGTTAAGTCTGAAAATGAAAGAACTTCTCTGTTATTGATATCTTCGTTGGTTGAACTGTTTATTTAACATTATCTTAAAGCTCGAATCCAACTTTGAAAAGTTAAAATGCATCAACATATTAAAAGGTGGTCAAAATCTTTTCTTCATCATCACCAACTGCTCACATCTCACGATTCTCAACCCTTCATCCAAATCCACTTAACTAGGTTGTCATGCCTAGTACATGCTTTGTCGAGCCTACGTGCCTACAAGCCTTCCAACCCTACTAATTTAGTACTTAACATATCATGCAGCACGGGCCACCCGCCAGCCAGTGTAACCCCGGGGCCCCGTTGCCCTTCCGGCTGGCTCTTGACATGCCCGACGGGGCCCGTTCAAACTGACGAAATGGCTCCCGAGTCCCGACAATTTTTTTGGGGGGGCTGGTCAGACCGAATGCAGAATCCATAATATATATATTATTTGTATAATATATCGTCACAAACAGAACTGCCCGGTTAACCGTAGGCAGAGAGAGAGAAGAGGACAACAAACGAGGGGCTGTGACAAACTGTTTCGTCGGAGTTTCACCGACTCATCAGAGCATATTTATCTTTCTGAACTATGCCGCTTCAAAAAGAACACACGAATACGGGGAAAAAAAAAACGAAAAGATCCCTCTTTTCTTTCTCGTTTTCTATGTTTTAATTTTTTTCTCTCCACGATTGCGCGTGCCCCCCTTGCATAGGGCCATGGCAGCCATGCTAACTTTCTTTCAATCTCTCTCTCTCTCTCTCTCTCTCTCTCTCTCTCTCTCTCTCTCTCTCTCTCTCTCTCTCTCTCTCTCTCTCTCTCTCTCTCTTCCCAGTCCCAATCATGTTCTTCCTTCATCATCAGGAAGACGATTATCGACCGCCATATCAAGATCTACACCGTCCATCTCCACAATGAAGGTAGCAAACATCGCCAGAGCGCTTCTCAATAGCCAAAACGAGTACAGTGCTCAAACATCGAGAGACGTCCTCGAAGGCCAAAACCAGTACAGTGCTACAACCAATCCCGATCGCAAAAACTAGGAAATAGGACCTCATGAGTCCACCTAACGTCTTCTCCAACCACAGGCCACTGAGGCCATTGAACTCTTCAGCACCATTCCCCCCTTGCCGTTCCCTCATGCATTTACCTCAACAAAACTTATCAGTCTTCTTCCCACAACGAACTGCAGAGGTGTTGTAGCCAACCTTCCTTCTAGCACAATGAACCATTGAACCCCTCTATCACCCTATTTTCAACGGCTTTATACAGTATTCTTGTCTACTATATGCACTGGATGTTACATAACACATGTCTACATGTCCCTGTCCCGTTGGCAGAGTGCTTCCACCACCTGTCGTAGCCTCTAGCGTCCACGCGCGCGCGCCCACATACACACACACACACACACACACACACACACACGTACGTACGGAGAGAAACCGATCAGGAAACTGTCCTCGGCTAGTTAAGGGCCCGAGAAGGATAGCGGATTCAACCAAGTACGATGGCAATGAATCGCATCATCGTATATAGTGGACAAGTTACCCAAGTACAATAGCAATGGATCGCACTTCTATAGCGAAAACCTTTCTACAAGTACGCTCAACACCCGTCCTTAGGCTCGTATTTAGCTCGCGCGCGCGCGCACGCACACACACACACACACACACACACACACACACACACACACACACACACACACACACACACACACACACCACGCACACACAAGCAGTGTCGATTCTGTCGAGCAATCAAGGACACAAAAAAATTATCGCTATCTGTCCTCAGGCCAGATTACAACAATAGGGCGAGGAGTACGTCAAACTTGGAAAAGCTTTTTATGAGACACGGACAACCGGTCCTCCAAAAAGAAGAGAAATTTGGGACAACTGATATATACATTTCCCAGAAATTTCCTCCGTAGATCGTGGCCACCCATTCGTCAATCTCGAACTGTCCATCCTCAGAGTGTGGGCCGTGGCTTATCTTCTTCGCTGCACATGGTTTGCTTCCTAATCTAATCTGGCCCAAGCGAATGCCAAACTGCCAATCCTTTTCCTGTCCCTCCTCTCGTTGGTTCACGTCCCGAGCTTCTAGCTGGTACCGAGAATGACAACCCAGTACGTCGACTCATTCGCGCTACGCCTGGCTACACCGATGTCCTTGTACGTTTGGTCCAAAAGTACAGCACGCGTGGTTGGGTTACTCACCCACCCATCAAAAGGATTATCCCCTCCACAAGACACAAGCTCCACGGCATAGTCGTAATCTCCAAACCATTTGCACTCGTTAGCTGCATCTAAGGACGCTGATGACCACCACGAGGGAAGGCGCCCAACGCACCCGCACGCGCAAAAGTCGCCATCGTTGGCAACAACGCGGTCGTGCAACGATCGACGAATGAACGAAAACAGAAACACGACAACGAGCCAGGAAACAGGACCAGACACACGGAGCAGGAACAAGGCAGCGGGAATAAGGATTCGGAACGAGACCAAGAAACAGCAGCTAACAAAGAAAACCGTAGAAAACACACCAGCACATGTTGTCAACAATTTTAACAGCACTCGATTTTTGAAAAAAACACAAAAGAACAAGGAAAACATTTACCTGCACGATACACTAACTCTCAGAAAATCGCATTGAACCGCGTAGTAAACTAGAAAATTACCACTGAGTTTCAGGAGACAACATTAAACTCATGTTACTCCACCATACACCAAACTGCTCAATGTACATTCACACACACACGCACACACACCATCATACACTTGAATTAAATGTCTTTTCACAGCGTCACACACACACACACACACACACACACACACACACCTGACTCTATCCGAAAGAATGCGAGGTGTAAAGTGAGTGGAAAATATCTCCTATGGGAGGTAAAGTGAATCAAGGTGTCCACCTTCAGGGAGAGAGACAAGTGAATGGCCAACCAGGAAGGTTAATCCACTCCAAGCGGATCAAAGAACTTTGGGAAACCAAAGAATGAGAGGAGAAAGGGAAACCAAAAAGCACAGATCACGTCTAGCCAAGGAGGACACTACTGAAGCGGGAGGACCGGAAAAGAGAAAAGAAACAAAGGGAGAATTTCCGAATCACACGTCCGGCACACAACTGGCACATAAATACAAGACAGCCCCTGCTGGAACGTAGAAAATCGGGAACAGAAAGCGTCTGGAGTGGACGCTTCCGCTCCATACAAAGCCGTCGACGCCCTCAATGCCAGTGAATACGAAATTCACGCGACTTTATCCACATATTAACGACCTTAAACCACTCTCGTTTCAGCTCTGGCCGGTGGCACCCGTACCTCAGGTTCTTTCGTGGTCGCCAAGAGTGTCACAGGAGCTATCGCAGTTCCTGCTCTCTTCTCCATACAAAGGAAAGCCCAGACATGCCATACAGAGAGCAGACAGAGGTCATACAGAGGTGAAGGAGTTTCGACATTCGATCCAATCGCCAGCACACAGGCGGAATCAGTAAGGCAGACAAGGGTGACGAATTCTTCCCAAACGGAACTCTTCCCAAACGATTACAACCACCCAACGATTGGAACCTTTTAGAGAGATAAGAGGTGGAGACAAGACCGAGAGCGAGGGGTGACGAAGGTTTGAGAAGAGGAGACATAAGAGAGGAGGGGGAGAAGAAGGTTTTGTATGTGCCCTTTTACGATTACCTTTGTTATCTCCTACGCACGCCCCGCCCGCCGAGGTAATAGCATCCACCCGCTTATCTGCGGCGCAATCCAGGTCACCCTCTCTGTCGAGGTCGTCTATGTCCGCTTGATCCCGCAGATGGTTGATACGCATACTCATTAGCAGCTCCCGCGGGGTCAGCAGCGCCATCACTGTCTCTTATACACATCTAGATGTGTATAAGAGACCACTTCTAGACCGGCCTCTGGGCTCTACTTCCCCTCCCATCGTCATCACCATATTCGCACTTCGCATCACCGAAAACCTCCACTGAAAGGTCAAACCGCGGGGACGAAGTTTGCCAAGACTTACGCCCGTCAACGTCAACGTCAACGTTGAACAGTTTTACGCAACACCGATTCGCTAGAAGACTTGACTGCCTGGCGCGCCGTCGCCTGCGTGGCGTGGCGCGGTGACTTTTCTAGACAGCCGCCCAAGTGCGACACAATGTACCCTTTGTCCTCCCAAACTTGGGTCGTACTTGTCACGCGCGATGACTTTTCTAGACAGCCGCCGTAACCTTTCCAGAAATGCGACACAACGTACCCTGGGACCCTTGTCCAGAAATGCTTCACGCGGTAGCTCCTTTATTTATTTTTTTTTGGTAGAGGCCAAGGACCCGACCCGCGGTGATTGCTGGTAGCGGCAGCCAATGGTTGTCCTGACAGGATAGGCCACCTACCCTACCCATCCCCAAGTTAAAACTCCCAGCGCACCCCCTGTCCCTACCATCCTACCTCAGTGTGACCGGCACTCAGGACCATCACCCCACCAGTATCGAGGGCAACTTAGACCAGACAGCAGTGACAAGCACCAGGGCCGGGCCAACCTCCCAGCCTTAATGGAAGTGGAAGCGGACAAACCTTGCTGTACGGGAACTTCGGACGCCAGGCTCATGCAATGTTCTACAGGCCCAATTCAGAGAGTCTACCCAGCAGGGTTACCTAAGCAAGACAGGCCAGCGCCCGCGGACACATCCTACCGTCCTTCCCCTGGCTTACCCAAGGCTAGGCGGAACTCAGACTAACCGGAGTGACTTATATCCCTACCCTACCCTAGAGCTAAGCCATGCATGCGTAGACCCCGTCATATACCTGATAGACCCCCCCAGCCCAGTATCGCAGTTGTCTGTATATGTGTGTGGCCAGAGGCTATGCATGTTTGAATGGGTTTCATAGGGCCATGTTTTTGTGTCTGCCCGAAGGCTTTGTGTGCTCTCTGTAACTGTATAGCGAGATATGTGTGCCCGAAGGCCAGATATGTGGAGTACTAGGTAGAGGGAACTATGTGTTCGTTTTTGAAGAGATGACAGGCCAAGTTAGTCAGAGCACCGGCATCACAAGGAACAGGTTTGTGGGTTCAATTTCGATCGGCCGTCAGCCAGGACAGCCTATGCTCTGGTTGGTGTAGCATCGCTATGCCTGCTCCTGGGCCAGTGGGGCAGCAAGCACCATACATGCCAGGAGGTTGGGGGTTAAATAATAGGTGGGTAGGACACTGTAGGTCGTCTTACCACCTCTCCTAAGATACTTCCCCCAGGCTCCTTGTTATGGTTGTGCTTATGCCAATCACCAGTTTACAGGGGGGAAGCCCCAGGCTGGCACAGCTGTGGCTGCTCCAGGGGCAGCAAGTATTGGTGTTAGGTTGACACCCCACGCTACCTGACCCCCACGAACTACTTCCCGAACCCGTGCTATCTTTCGTACCCTTTTTGCTTGTATCATACCAACCCCATAAAAACCCCATTTCGTTTTCTTGATTTCGGGTGCATTTTGGGCCCCCATCTTTTGGAAGCTTTTACGATTCCCGGGTTCTGCTTTTTCTTTTTGCAATTCGGGAAATACATAGGAATTTACGTGCGCCTTAGCGAGCGCACTGGGAATTGGGCCCGGCAGTTGGGAATTCCGGGATAAGAGAAACTTCGACGTGTCCTTTTTGTGTGTGAATGTTCTCGGTCGCGTTGGGGAAAACTCTCTGAATTTTGTGGGGATACGAATAGGCGTAGGACTTTCTTTTCCCGCGTCGCTCTTTCGCGCGCGGATATGGTGATTTCAATTTTGAATTGGTTTAGGATGTAGGCAAGCTGTAACTGTTTCGGTGCCTTTTTCTCTTTTTGTTGACGGCGCCGCGCATGCAAAGCTGTCTCCTCTCTGTCCCCCGCATTGCTCTCTCCCGCGCTTCTTTTTCCTCCCCCCTCCTCTTCCTCTCTCCTCAAAACTGTTTTTCTCCCTCTCTCTCTCTCTCCCGCTCTACTCTTTGCGCGCCCATTTCCCCTTCTTGATCGTCTGAATCTTAGACCCGTCTCGCGCTTCTTCTCGCGCCTTTTCTTTTCTCGCCCTTCGAGCAAAGCTTGCCAAGTCCGGTCGATCCTTCGATTACTCTCGCCCACCAATCAGACGCGTGGTACGGTAGGATCTGCCTATTGCGCGACGAGTCTGATTGGCCAATCGCCAAGTTGTAAAGGATCAACATGGCTTCCACGAAGCGCTCTTCTCAAAGTCTTCTCTTCCTGCTTCTCCTCTTACACTTCGACTTTCCCCCTGCATTCTCCCTCCCTTGTCTCCCTCCTCGCTGCTATAAATTCCGCAAGCGAGCCCGCAAATCTCTCTTACGTTCTCGAATCCTGAGCCAGCGTCCAGGAAGCAGTGGCTACACAGAGTGTTTGGTGCGAGTCGGAAAGTCCTGTTGGGCTGACGATAGGCTGGCCGGTTGCGCGCTTGATCGCCACAACGGAATGTGGGATCTGGGCGAACCGCGTCGAGTTTATATCGGCGGGCTGACGATCGCAGTGGTGGGAGTTGGCACGCGACGGTCGGGATCATCGGTGCGGGCATGAGGACCGATTGATTGGAGTTGAGTGAGTGATTGGCCCGGGGCCATATTGGAATTAACGGCGAATGCGCCTTTGTTGTTGCGGATCTTTATCTCTGGCGTGAGTGCACGGCGGCAACGCCGAACTTCCTTCTTTTCGGATCTTGTCATCTCCTATCTCGACTTTCCTCCCTCATCTCCCTCTCTCTCTCTTCTATCTTTGAATGATGATGTGTCTCAGTGTTTGTTTCCCCCTTGGATGCAAATGAATCTGTGTGCTTTCCGCTGTGAAAGAACTTCTTCCGGAACTCTTCCATTAGTTTCCTGGGTAATCCCCATATGCCGAGGAATTGTTTCTCTTGTCTTGTGAATGGTGGAGGTGTGTGTACCATTCCCTTGGTTGATTTCTCACTCGTATACCCATGTCATTTTTGCACTTTCCACAGTGAATGTATGTATGAAGATGCGTGTCTTTTCCTGTTGATTAGACGCAACCCCCAACATGATTTTGTTCGAGAATGCAAGAGTGTTTAGATCTGTAGTTCTGAATTCACGACGCATGCCATTTGCCTTATGCTTCACGACATCTGCAGCCGATGTACAGGGCAACCTCGAGAAATAAGGCGTCTGGGATCAACACCACGGTGGCTTACAGAAACCTGAGTCCCGGGTTGGTCCCTTAGTTACATGCATGATCAAGCTGATGAATGTTTTCTTTTTCTCTCTCTCTCTCTCGGGTCAAAAATGATTGATTGGGGGTTGCGTAAGTGTTTTCTTTTCTTGATGACGTCTCGGGATTTTTGCAATTGATTGATATGTGGACTGCACCCTTCGATCGGACGCCATCCTCCTGTATCTCTTGTCTCAACACGGCCTTTTCCCTACAACGAGGAAAGGACACGTGTATGTGAGTGGGACGTACAAGAAGCTGTCGCACAAATCGGCGGTCAATATTACTTTCCTCCGGCAAACCGTTGTTCAGGGTTCGTAGAGGCTGGGTTTGTCATTATCGATACGCACTTTCCACCTTACTCGATATTGTTGTCATTCAACGAGTTGATTGTCATCCCATGGACGGCAGTAGAACCCCATTGGTCGCGCACCCTATGAACCGAATGTCAGCGCTTTGAGCGCTACGAATCCAGGGGTTTCCACTACCATGTGCGGAGTGAGGACGAACATAGAGAAAGAGCCACGCGATTAAGACCCTCCACGTCGGATTCAGAACTGGTCATTGAACGACGACGGGACTTGATACGAAAGCGAGACACACGAAGCGTGCCGAAGCCCTTCTGTTCTAAACGATGGGCTGTAGCCAGGTGGGAAGTCCGACAATATTTTTTGGATTGAATTTGTATTTCTCACTCCTCTCGCACCAAACTTTCGCGCGCATAATTAACGTCGTGCGAAAAACGATCGACTTACTTCGTCGGACCAACACGGGGGATTTTAGTTCCGTAGGTGTCCCCACACTCAAATTCCAAAAATCCTTGGCACACCCCATCTTGCTGTTTTTCTGGGCCTCTTTCTGCACATCTAGCACTCCGAACGAAAGACGGCACAGGGCATGAGGTTGGTATCGGAGCCGACACGTGTCGGTTCTGATGATAGTAAGTCGAACTGGCGAGAGGTAGAAGAAGTCCCCCACCCGCTCACCGAGATCGTCCTGTGACCAGATCTATATCTGGTGCGGCTATACCAGCTATACCAATGGTAGATGGTAATAGGGTGATCGTTAGTATCCCTGCCCCTTTCCCCTTCTTCCCTAACCATACCCACCCTGAAGCTTGGCTGGAAGCCGTTGAAGCTCAAGGATATAGCGCGGGTGATCTTCCACGCGTTCTTACCTTGCTACTCCATAATACGTCATATGACTGGTTTAGAAAGCATACATGGGTAGATTGGAATACTTTCAAACAAGCATTCTTGGCTCGATTCGGTACGGTCAGTGAAGATGCCGCCTGGTACGTGCTCAAAACTCGGCCACAAGGACCAGGGGAATTGCTACCCGATTTCGTGGATAGATTTCAAACCACGATGGACAAATCGAGGCGAGACGAGAAGTCCAATCGAGATTTGTTCATTGATCATCTACGAAGTCCGACGTTGAGAGAGAAGTTACAGAAAAAGGTCCCGCCGAAGACACACCAGCTATCTGCTATCATCGCTAAAGCGTTGGAACTGAATCTGGCTGATATAAAAAAATATATCAGTCAGGGAGACAAAGATATTATAGATACCATATAGGATGTAACAGCTAAAAGGCGATCATGGTTGCGGGCGGTAGAACGGTTTCATCCCCGCCCCGACCATGACCTTCCCGACGGGATCGCTTCCGATATCCTGCCGGTTTCTTCTTCCTCTCCCCCAACGGATCAACCGAAAGCGGCAGTTAAGAGCAGAATCTCCCACGAACCTCCCTCGCCGGCCGTAACAAACCTGCATCTTGCCCAAATGATCCATATGGCCACTGCTAAGCAATCTGAATGGAAGAGCAACCTGG